ATAGTTGATATTACTTTAAAATTAACTTATATCTTATATGGTAATATTTCTAAACATTTATCAACCAATTATTTAAAGAAAAATAATTACAAATTAATAAAATTAGCCAAACCAAATACTCCCTAAGTGTGTTAAAGTGATATATTACAACATACAATAGCAAACAATAGTTATCAATCATAGAAGAATACTGAACTGACAAACAGTTAAATGAAATAGTGCCAAAAAAATAAATACAGGAAGTTATTATATGTGAACAAGTATATACATATATATATATATATATGTAATTAAAGCATGAACTGATTATGAGAAGTTATTGTACCTCGGAAAATTGATGATCAATGCTCCAAGCAAGGATGAAACCAAAGCCATGAGCCGTGAAGATAGCCATAACCATGTGCCCCAACCATATATGGTACTTAATGCTTCCCTCCGACGTGAGTCCAAGCAGCGGCAGCACCGACGATCCACGAGCCACTGGGAAGAAAAGAAATGCCAGACAAATGTTCCCCACCACCCCCAGATATAATGCTGTTATTTTCAACTTCTCCACCCATCTGTTCAACACAGTGTTTAAGTAATCTATTATTAAAAACCTTGAAAAAAAAAAAAAAAACCATGTGCATGTGGTAGCAAATTAAGGATCATATAAAGAATGTTTAACTTACATTCTTTGTCCTTGTTGTGCAAATTGTGTGATGTTGGCGAAATTGTTGTGGAGATCAGTTGATAAAGACCAAACAAGGAGTGCAATGAACATTATCAAGAACGCCAGTTCTGTTCCAGTAACGATTCCTAAAGGACCTTTCACCAAAACCGGCTTCTTCCATGTCGCTGCCCGTCGATGACCCTCGCCGTCGTCACTACTGTTTAGAAAGAAAGTAAGACACCCTAAATTATTGAGAACTTCGAAAGAAAAAGAAGAAAAATATGTACTTATATTATTAAATTTGAATCGTATAACAGCTAGGAGGAAAGCTACTCAATATTCGGATGGTATACGTGAAGAATTTACTACCATTGAGATACATCATTATTGTTGAGTTTCTTCCCCAAATGGAGGTATAAAGATCCCAAAACGGAGATAAAGAGCATCGGAAATGTCCAGATCAGAATGTTCAAACCTGGGAAATTAACAAATCAACTAAGATAAAAGATATATATAAACTCACACAAATTTATAATAGAAGGACTAAAAAGAGATGAGCTTATGAAATTTATTAACAAACCTGACGTGCCAAGATATGTTGAATTAGAGACCTTGTCGGAAATCTTAACCCGCCATTTTTCCCGGTAAGTGTTTGTAGGCATCATGACCCACATCATGAGAATCCCCAGAAACATGACCAGAAGTAGTCCTTTCATGGCAGCTCTTACCATTCGAATGCTGGCATCCATCTCTTTCTTGGGAAGAAGGTAGAAAGGAGAATATAAATTTTGTGTGGGTGTGGACAATTTTTAGAGAGAATGATGAAGTATATATATATACATGGTGAAAATTTAGCTAGTTTATAAAATTCTTTTGTATATATTTGGAAACTTGAATTTGTATTTAAGGGATGTATTTTAAATATATATTTAAAATAGGTTAAACTCTTAATTTGGTACTTCAATTATTGTATGAACCCTTAATTTGATTTTTGAACTAAAAAAATTTCTAATTTGGTTCTTACCAAGTTGGTCTTTTGTTAAACAAAAATTGATGTGTCTATTACTTAATAGTATAAAACCATTACTTAACAGCCACATGTCATATTAATAACAAGAAATATCAGCTGTTTTTATACGAAAAAACCAATTTGGGACTAAATTGATAAACAATAAGGATCATATCAGGGATTTTTTTAATTTATGAACTAAATCGGAGGCCTGTATAATAGTTGGGGACCAAATTAGGCGTTTAACCCTTAAAATATATGTAATTTTAAATATATGTATTTTTAAATTTATTATTTGGATTAATATAACAACAATGAATTTAATATTCAATTTATCCATTGAAGAAAATGAGAGAGTTGAAATATATAAATATAAATTTAAAATATATGGTGTTGAGAGGATATTTCAAATATACAAATTTAAAATAATGAAATACATAAACACAATTATAAGTATGTGAGATAAATTAATTACATATTAATTTTATAAAAATAAACAATAATATAAAATTTAAAAGGTTCAAATTCAAATATACTCTATAAAAATTATGTTCCAAGCATACCATCAGCAAGTTTAATTTGGATTTTTGTGAGTCATGCGCCAAAACAGTGTCTCCTCTTCTAAGTTATCACGGAATACTCTTATGAAGAAACGCACCATATCAATGAGGGACATATATTTTTAATTAAAATTATTTATAAAGAAATTAATTTGCGACAGCCTAATCATCCAAATTATTTTAAAGAAAAATTAAAAATCAACTTATTTCGATTTCAGCTTACTAAACATTAGCTATTTTTAAGGGAAATAGACATATATAAGTTATAAAGATAGTCAACTCTATCATCTTTTTGATGATTGAGTGATTTAATTTTACCTCTGATTCATTCTCCATTCTTTCCCATTCTTTCCATAAGAAAAGGTGTAAAAAAAATTAAATGCCAGAGCTTCCATTATTGATAAAAGTAAAAATTAAGATATTTTGGTATTTTAAATATTAAAATTTTTTATTTTATTTAAGACTAAT